CAAAATATTAAGAATGGTTTCCCTGTATCGATAAGCCAACTATTATTTCCTTGTTTATATTAGGATCTAAAAGTTTGAATACATTTTTCTATGAATAGGCATCGCGCTTCAATTAGCTAAAAATGAAAACATACAACACAAAACGTTGTTTACCTATTATTATACTTACAACCACAACAATGTTGAGATAATAAAAACATTGTGTTGTTTGTGTTACAAAGCGGGAACATTTTAAAGCGCAGTAAATAATAATTCACTTTAGGCAATTTAATCTTTACTGTCAGAACATATAACAGCACTCCCTACGTTGCCTCAATTTTTCACGGCGAAGCAGATAATATGCTTTTATTTTAAAAGCTGAGATTTTTCCCAAAGGGTTATTTAATACATTTCTGATAGGTTTATTATTCTTACACGTTTAAATAAAGGGGTTAACATAATATTATGAAAATAAATCAAGGAAGAACACAGACAGTTATAAACAGAATAAATACTAATTTTTATTAAATTTATGTCCCTAAATAAATAATTTATGTATATTTTTTAATTTTGTGTTTTTATTTTGAGCAGAGCAACTTATCATCTTAAAAAAAGGTCAAGTTAAACTGTATCATCAAGCTGTTTATGCTGTTATAATTTCTAAGAGAATCATAATCTTTGAATTTCATTAAAATGGCCTTTATCGTGTCATAGACCAGGGCGGATCTGTTTTGAGATGGATGTGAGAGGAGGCAAGCAAATTTTTTCTGGATTACCTTCAGTACAGCTCGCACAATAAAAGTGTAGAACCCTAGATCTGGTCGAGGTCCGGAACAATTTCAAAATTGCAAAAATGGTTAACAAAATTTAAAAAATACTTATTTTTATCTGCGTTTTTTAATTATATCTTGGAACCTATGCATTTTGGAAGAATATTGAAAAGGAAAAAGTTTTAGAATTGAATTTTGTACAATATACTGCAAGTTAAAAACGTTTAGATTTATTACCAATGTTGCAAAATAGCAATAATTGATGAAAAAAAGGCAAAATAATCAAGTTTTTTTGGATAATTTTTTAAAAATATTTTAATTGCTCCGAGGGTATCCTAATTTTGGCAAAAAAAATAAAGCAACATACCAAATTTTATTAAAATCGGTTAGTTTTCACAAAAAAAATTTTGAAAAAAATTTTGAAAACAATTTTTCGAATTTTCAAAATGGTACACAGCTTCAAATAAAGCATCTAGATACCTGAAAATTTTTTCACATAGAAAAGACCACTCAACCTTTCAAATGGTTTTTTTTAAAATTGAAATCGGTTGATTAGGACAGCCACAGTAAATTTTTAAAGTTAACACTCTTTTTTTATTTTTAAACAATTAGATTACATTTATCAATTTGCAATTTAGTATTTTTCAAAAATTGTAATTTTAAAGTACTATTTTTTCTTAATTTTATCTGTATTTAACAAAAAAAATAATTTCCAAATAAAAAAAATAATCTGTTAATAATTATAACTAAATACATTCATATTCAGAGTGTTGAAATATATACGTAAACAAATTTTTTAATTGAAAAAATGCAATAGCATAGGGTAAAATATACAGTATATTTGATGCATAAATAATAAATTTTGTTTATAACAAAATATGTGCAAATTAGGCAGTTGGCATTACGATATTCGAATTCCTTGGCTCGTGAAACATCGGATTAAGAAAAAGATCGGAATTGGTCCATTAGAAACCGAGATAATGCAATTATTTTCGTACCTTCACATTTTGAACCTCCGAATTCAGTCTCAGAGCGAAAGCCCCCTACCCCACTTTTCGTGTTTTGAGTTACTTTTCGCACGTGCGAGTGACAGCTTCTGCGCTGATTTATCTATGTTGCCGATAACTCGGAAAAACGTAGCCACTTGTTTATAAATTAACGGTAAAAATGCCGATAAACTTTGACCGGTTATTTCTCGAGAACCAATAAACAGAATTTAACTTTTTTTTTAATAGAAGCGCCTTTTCGAGTTCTTTAAATTTATAATTTTTGAAAAAAACTAAATTGCAAATTGATAAATGTAATCTAATTATTTAAAAATAGAAAAAAGTGTTAACTTTTAAAAATTTACTGTGGCCGTCCTAATCAAGCAGTTTCAAATTTTTCAGAAACCATTTGAAAGGTTGAGCGGTCTTTTCTATGAGAAAAAATTTAGATGCTTTATTTGAGGCTGTGCAACATTTTGAAAATTCGAAATTTTTTTTCAAAATTTATAAAAAATTCTTTTCAAAAAATTTCTTCTTCAAAAATGCATAGGTTCTAAGATATAAGTAAAAAACTCAGATAAAATAGGTATTTTTTAAACATTTTTGCAATTTTGAAAATGTTCAGGACCTTGCCCAGATTTAGGGTTCTACATTTTTATTATGTGAGTTGTACTGAAGGTATTCCAGCAAAAATTAGCTTGCCCCCTCTTATATCCAAGAAGTGGGATATTTCGACAGATCCGTCCTGGTCTATTAATAGATCGTCATCGAATTATGAGGCATATCCACAAAATAAGATTACTGAGACTGTGATGCTCTATGGTTTTTGTTTCCGACAAAGTTGGTAACACTGTATTCAAGGTCAAAGTGTTGGGAGCAGAATGCACGCTCATTTGTCTTAGCCAGTTGAGAACTGTTGTTTCCTCTTGCAAAGAGAAAGGCAGATTTCGAAACGACGAAATCAAAACTGTTTATGCGGAATGGGGATGGCGTGATGAATTGTACTAATGTGTACAAGTGATGTCGTGAGCATAAAGCTGGCGCAACGAATGTTTATGATAAATAAAGCAGTGGGCGTCCCTCGATCGTGACTGATGAGATCGTGAACGAGATTGAAGAAATGCTTCGTGGGATTGATTTTGGACGATATAAACGCAATGTTTCCACAAATCCCTACATCTCTTCTGTATGAATGTTAGCAAAGGGGGTATGCTTGTTGCACATCTCCAAGCAATTTATTCGGCTGGAACATCATCAAACACCCCGCTCGCAGCCCTGATCTGGCACCTTCTTATTTTCATCTTCTCTCTTCTCTGAAGGTGTTTATGGGTGGAAAAAGGTTTTCTACAGACGATGAGATCCACAGAACCGTGAAACAATGGGGTCTGATAGGCGGCGCCGGCGGGAGATTTTTTTGACGAAAGTATCAGAAAGCTCACGATGTGCATTGAGGTTGAAGGCGCCGAAAAATAGTGATGTACCTTTATGTACATTTTTCGTAAATATACTGCCGTTTCAATTTTAAAAAACTGAGTACTCTGTGGATATGCGTCGTACTTCTGAAAAGGATAATAACTTTAATATTTATTCGGGATTAAAGTCACCAGTAATGTATATCATTATTACATAAACCTGTTAACGAGAGAGACTTGATATATATCTTTTCATATACCGTCGGTATAAATATTTCTAATTAATGTAACAATTTTAAAATATTTGCTGAATGTTAAATTATAAATAAGTGTCAAATAAAAAATTAAAACGATTCGTTTTCGTATACTTAATATTTTGGTTGTAATTAGTTTACGAACTTATTTCTGTTACTTTAATTTTATGGTAGGATCAGGAAGACAAAGGATAAAATATAATATGTAATAAATTTGTTACAAGTAGACTCAACATGAAGACAATGTAAATTCAGTATAAAAGTACCAATATATACTCCTTTGTTACGATGGGGTCAAACAACTTCATTATTGGCTTTGGAAACATGACTTTTGCTTCTTTCGACGTGAACTTTCCAGATCTCTGTACAAGTTCCCTACGAATTCAAACGGATAAATTTTTTGTTTTTCTTATTCTTAGACATTTTGCCCTCCATTGTTAAAAGTTATTGACATCAAAAAAATAAATAGTAGGGTTTAAATAATTATATTGATTACTTAAGGAATTGCGTGCAGTAGTTTTCCTCTTCGGTATCTCCTCTACTTGTTGACATATCTGTATAACAATTTAGCCAATTTTTGCTTTTAATTAGATACATTACTAGCCCGAGTCTCGTCTATCTACTTTTTAGAGATATTTGAAAAAAATGTGACACTTATTTTAATTTCGAAACCCTGTACCTCGGAAATCAATGGTTTTAGATTTCTGGTTCATTACGATTATTAAATCTAAAATGATTGAAAATGGTTATCGATGTATAGCAGTTTAAAGCTTCTCTGTAGAATCTGGGAAAGCTTATATATATATATATATATGTTTTGCTATTGTCAATTTATATAAAATAACCACTTCAAATAATAATCAATAATAATGTTCACTACGACACGTTACTGTCGCATTATTGCATATTTCATATGAAATAACCCATGCAGTCCACCTGCATAAATAATTTCAAATTCTAATCAACCAATTGTCCCCGCGTTGTCTATTTGTTATCGCAAGTTAATAATAAAATTACTTACCGTAGGACATACAACAAACATACCAACAAAAGCCTATTCAAGATTCCCATTAACAATTTGTACCGTTTTCCCAGTTCTCTCCCACAAACAACACTGACTTCGTAATTAAATTCTAATAATGGAACTTTGTCGAAAACCCTCGAAGTGCATCCTCAAAAATTTAGTTCGTTCGAACTACTCTCGACGAAAGAATGAGGTAAGGTAAATACACCTATTAATGACCTACTAAAGAACGGTAAATAACACCGACTTAAATTATTTTTTGTTATGCTGAACAAATATTTAAATTTAGTTTGAATTAACGAATACAATTTATTTCTTTGTCAAAAGTTTGTTAGAATTCGGGCAGACATAGACAATACAGTCACTGATGATAAATTGCGGTATTAACATACTCTGGAAATAATATTTGTTAATAGGTTTTATCAAAAATCTTTCAAAATATTTGCATTCGTGCTTCTGTTTTGTAAATCATATTACTTTATATTATTCTATGTGGCAGTTTTAATATAACTTTCTGTTAAAATGATGGCAATCAATCTCCTTACATCCTGTATAAAATATTCATCCTTTTTCAGGTCTCGGGCATCAGCAGTGAAATCTTCAAGCAGATAGAAACCGTAGAAAATGACCACGATGCTTCGACCGCCGCCGCGTTGGAGGTAAGAACAAATTTTATTTCATATCAGATAGAAAATAACAGTAGACGAGTTTTTTCATGGATGAGATACGTATCTCTGTTTCACACCACCGTAACGGGTCAATCAAAACTCTCTGTCTGTAAGGGAGGTTGGACTCTATTTAAGAAAATCTCTTTTAAATATTCTAGGAGATTTTTCTAAATTCCAAAATAGTATTCAAAACACCCATGAACATAAAGTATTACTTTGCAATTTAAAAACATCTTAAAATTGATGGATTCAAGAGATTCAATCAGAAATGTACTATTTGAAGTTTCTAATATTTCAATCACAAGTTATAATATTATATATGTTACATATTCGATAAAAGACTTACGTGGTTGAGATTTGAATGAAATATAAAAAATTTTGATGAAAGACAACATAATATAATAACACTATTTTTAATATTTTTAGTTGAAATGAGAAACAAAGAATACTGTAATACTGTAACACTGTTGTGCACTGTAAGAAAAATTGGACTTATTTTAACTCAATAATGTATTAATTTCCATCCACGCCCGATTGAGTGAAATTTTTCTCTATTAGTATAAGTAATTTTAGTTAATTAGCTATCTACCGTTATGACCAGTATCGTGACGAGTCTGGATTTCAAAAGAGTTTACTATTTGATTCTCGAAAGGGAGTTTATAATTATCATTACAATTTATTGACACGCGACAACGTACCGAGATTCAGGGAAAGCGCGCTTCATAGCAAAATTTGGAAAAAACTTTATTCATTATTTCATTTAATTAATTAGCCCGAGACTCTAAGTCAACTGCTCAATGTGGAACCTAAGGAAGAACTGACTTTTTCTCGTAGATCCTTTCTGAATTCGACACGCCCATTTCTTGGGTCCAGACGTTTCTGTTCTTATCTTACTGGCGGGAACCCTGAATGTCGGGATGCTTTGGCATGTTAATAATTACCTGATTGACTGGACTTACATTTATATAAATGATTCTGCGACTAGGCTTACAAACAACCCTATACCTTCCTCTTGTGACTCCGCCTAGCAATACGGGACGGATTAGTCCATCTCATTTAATATATTCTTAATAGCTTGGAAAATCCGTCTAAAAACCAGCTATGCTACTTTCTTTTCCTCACAACATTCTAACGACTTATTCTTGGAATTCCCACATTCTTTGGAATGCATTTTGCGCGTTATTTGCAATATCGATTTTTCTCTTTATACTAGATGCAACACATGGCCCCGACAGTTTAAGTGAACTTGTTCGGACGGACCATTAATATTTTTCACGTTTTTATAGATACGTTTTTCGGGATTGTTGTTATTCGTGAATTCAGACAAGGCAAATATTGTCATATAAACCGCATATATGACTACAGCTGTTGAATATATGACTATATGACTACATTTCGTTGAAGTTTATTTTGCTAGTCCGCATCACGAGCTAATGTGAGACAAAAAAATAAACATTAACCATCAAATCGCTGATCGTCAGCACGCTGACGCTCAGCTCAACAATATGTTTAGGAAGATAGATATTATCAAGTGAGATGTTATTACCAAAATCGCCCATGTTTCGAATTCAGCACCATCCTAAACAGTTCCAAACGCAGCGCCAACCTGTCGTCACACAGCCCAGGCAGCGTCAGTTAAAAATCCAAATATTCAGTCATGTTTCAAATACAATAGCCGAAACTTTCGAAGGCGACAACATTGAGAGAGCCTGACGGTATTGGCAGAGCGATCGCCAGAGATTGTCGTGAGTTGCCCAAAAAAAGGACTTAGTTTCGAATTTTTCCGAGAAACGTCATGAAATTCGAACTTGATCACGAGATAAGGCTGGCTTATATAAATTTAAGACTTTCACCAGATCCCATGACAAGTCAAAGCAATCTCAAAGATCACCCAAATTCAAGAGGGTTCGAACGTTGTCTCTAGCTTTTCCTGGATGAGAAACCAGGGCAACATTTCTGACGAATATATATTCTCAAGTATTCAATAGCATTGTGTTGCTACTTTTAACTGCACATTCTAAAGCAATACATTGTTGATCAAATATTTCTAATAAACTTTTTATAATCAAAAACAAAATTGTTACAAATCGTTGCGAGTCAGATTTAGATAAGCAATCTAGTTCTTCATATTTACTAAATTCATTGAAAAGAAATGTAGCTATTTCTTGGTGAATAGATAAATTTCGTCGTTTCAAAAATATAGTTAAAAAGCATTGCTCAAGCATATCTCTCAATGTTTTAAATAATTCCCCGTATACTTCCGGAAAAACTACCCGTTAGTTATCGGCTGCAGCAGTCGGCAGTAATTAATTCTACAGCACCGTGCACCAAAGAAACTTATGAAAATTAATTCCTAGCCCAGGAGCAGCTTTCGGTTTGCGAGCGCTGCTTTATTTTTCTGCTGCTCTTCGTTCATTTAAAGTTTTAATGCCATCATAACTTTAACATTAGTTTCCGCACATCTCCTTTATCACGTCCTGGTACTAAAAACTTAACCACAACATAATCTTTTAGCATGCCATAATTTTGCTTCACCTGTTTATTAAAATGTGGTTATAACTTTTGGGCAGACCCCGCAAAATAAAATAAAATTGATATGGAGATGCAAAGTTGTATTCCATGTAAATGAAAAGTCATACACAATATATTTATCATTTCATGTCATTTTTTGAATGAGTAATGGGAAAATTCTATCAAATGAAGTCAAACAATGTTCTTTAACACAAAAAAATCTACGTATGCAAAAATATATAACCTCATAGACTGAATTATTGCGGGAAAATGGCTATTTAATAATTAAAAAAATAAAAATTAAAAATGATATATTTAATTAAATACATATAATATTGAATTAGCTCAGTAGACTTAAAATAAAATAAAAATACAAGAGCTATTAACAAAATATATATTTTTAAAATAGTTTTCATTTTAATTGCAGACGATTTGGAGAAAATATGGATTGCTTTTTTTATAGAAAATTGCATTGATTGTTTGTTACAAAAAATATGTATATAATTAGACTGAATAAATAAAAAAATTGTATAAACATAAAATACTTATAAAATGAAGTCAATATAGCACATAATTACTTCAGCTCGACATTTTGGTACATATCAAATGGTGCAGGCTTGGGAAATTCATAGGGGATTCATATTGCACCTTCGTAGCTCGTTTTGTGAGACCATTGCGCAAGTAATTTTAAAGATACAGCTATACACTAATATTCCATTTGCAGCAAAATGAGAGAATCATAAATTTTAATAATTATGTAGGTATATCTCTGTTTATCACATTCAATCGGAATTTCTTAAAATAATTTTAAATTCAGAATTTAGATCTTTAATTACATATTATACGAACATGCATCGACAATTGTGTCAGGTAGCACTGTTGTTAAGTTGTTAATATTAACAACGGTTAATAGTAAAGGATAGTCGTAGAAAAAAAGAGGAAGTATTAAATACGTTGGCAAAAAAATAAGTTAATTTTTTATGTGATTTATACAATTTATAAAAAAATATGTCTAGTATAAAATTAACTCCATTAGCGCAAAATATGTTTTACATAACATTAGAATTGTTTTTTTATTCAAATTTTTTTTTCCGGGGAGATAGACGTAAATTTTCTGCTCCATGCGCACACCTGAAACATACAAAATGTTTCTACTTTTGGAAATATTTTAAAAGTTAATTAGAGACCACATTAAACTTTTTTCAGATACAAAGACGTTGGGAGGTATAGAAGAAATAAAAATTAAATTTATCTGCACAAAGGTTGCTGTTTTCTGCGTCTCAAACAAAGCATAATCGGGAGAGAAAAAGGAAACGGATGAAGCTCTTGATATATGTATTATCTGCTAACTGCATTAAAACACAATTATTTACATAAATATTGGGTGGTCCCGAGGTAATGGGCCAAAATTCATGAGTAGATTCCCCAAGCAAAACATTTGCTATTTGAGCGAACTTACCTTAGTCCAAAAGTTGATAGTCATAGAGATACAGGGTGTTAAATGTAAAATATTATTTCAGTTTTTTCATTTATTCCTTAACAAATGCAAATATTCTCACAAAATTTTGGGGTTTGGAGTTCTTTGGGTAGAGGAATTGAAATCTGTTCACATTTTGGTTAAAGTTCATAGAGGGCGCTAGCTGTAGTAGATTGAATGTGTTAAAAACGACATATCTTTTTTGTACTTTAAAGTATTTCATCTTTGGTGTTAAATTCTTATTTTCCAACTTTTTTTACACAAAAAAAGTATACTTTATGAAAGTAGCTATCTCGCGCCGTTTTCTAGATATTATATTTTGCTTTGAAACTTCCAATGTTGTTGCATTAAATTACAATTAAGTACCCACAGGTATTATTAATTTAGCGGTAAAGTTTCTCAAGTAGGATTTGAACGAAAATCAAATAATTGACGTTTTCCAATTGTCTTACTGCTGTCATTTGTATGCTAATTTTTATTAAGTACTTACCTATTATTCGTATCTAATTAAAAGTACGTCTTAGCTTACAATTTAAATTGTATATTCGTATACATAAATGTGAGATAGAATGCCGAGATTTTCGTTTTTGGAGTTACATGAAATCAGTTGTTTATGGAGAAACTATAAACACCTGAGAAAAATTTTAGCAGCAGGTTTTAAATGCTGTAAAGTCATTTCGCGTTAAGGATTTATACTTTAAAATAAGACAACATTTTAATAAACGCGTTTAATAAATGTATTGAAGTTAGAGGTGAACATTTTGAGCAATTATTGTCAAAAAGACATATTTTTTAGTAATGTTTACTATTTTACTGATTTTATTTTTACAATTTTTAATTCTAAATAAACCCTTGTTTTTGACATTTCTAAATTACTTTAATTATTTCAACTATTAGCATTATAATTTTTAATTCTAAATAAACCCTTGTTTTTGACATTTCTAAATTATTTTAATTATTTCATCTATTAGCAATGGAAGTTTCAAAACCAAATATCTGGGAA